CCACATTTTATAGTAACATGTCGGTTCAAAGAAATTAACTCTAAAGTTCTGAAACTGAATCACATCAGCAGGTTAAACCTGTTTAAACAGAAAAAGCAGCATATTCATTTCAGTCACATATCAGTGTAGCTACACCTGATTGGATTAAAAATGTTCCTTTGTCATCTTTAACTTTAATCAGCTGCTGCTGGATCTTATATTTTGAACGGTTTCTGGATCTTCTGATGTTTCATAATCAGGTTTTAGTTTATTTAGATTTTGTTCTCAGTGTTTCAGCAAATCAAAACAGATTCTACCTTTGAATTTGTTTCTTTGAGTATCACAGTCTGTCTCTGAAGTGAAGTAAATGAGTTGATTTGCTTCTGTTGGTTTGTGAACACTCTTGTTGTGCTGAAGCTGTTTTCCTGAAACAATTATAACCAGATTTTTAAGCATGAATTTATTTTGCATTTTAAATATTTGCTTCCATTTTCAGACCAACATTGACATTTAGCCTCAGCTCTATTAAACTGCATATTAGAGAAAAGCAGTTCATTATGATGGAGTCACTGATTCTCACTGGTCTGACATAACCAGGCAGCAATCAAACCTTTGATCAGCTTTGCAGTGTCACACCTGATCTGTGTGTTTATACACTGTAACTTATGCTGTTTAACGGTAAAAATAAAGCTATACTGTATATCCTACAGAAATATTTCCACAGTTTTTATGAACAAAGCTGCAGAGATGTCTGATGAGGGTCCAACTTTATAATAATTGGTTCTTTAAAAGCGTTTAGATGGAGCAGGACTGAAATGTACTTTACTCACAAGGTGGAGACAATGGTTCCAACATTTTATTTCCACTCTGACATTTATTTTAAGTAAATCATTAAATGTTAGAAATTACTTGACTTACCAAGTAAAGTAGAACATTTAGACTGTTGTCAGTGCAGCTGTAAGCATAGCAAATAAACAGTAACAGCTTATATCCCCTATGCAGGTTTATTTAAGAGAAAAACTTATTTTATTTATTTGAGATGATGGGTAGTTAATTAAAAAATCGTTATTTATTCACTTTTCAGTCCTGAACACAGACCTGCTGACATGTTGAGAAGCAACTGATAAATTTGTAAAAGTTTACTTTGCTTTTTTTTTTTTAGTCGGCTAAAACACTTGAAGCTTAACCTACTTTGTGACACGTTTTATTGTTTTTTGTTTATATATTTGTTCACGATTTAATTTATTTCTGTATTGACCACAACTGATGACGTTCTATCAGCGCCATCTGGTGGAGACTAATAACAAGCAAAGGTTCCTTCTTGTTCTTAAACATGAGTGTTTCCTAAAGTAGCGCCCCTACAGGTGGCAAGAGACAACACAGGAAGATAACATGAGATTGCCTAAAAGTCACTATTTTGATGGAGCTCAAAACATCTATAGGTGAAGGAGCATTTCTCTGGGAAAAAAAAGACTGAAATTACAATTTCTGACCCGTGTCTATGTTGAGGAGACAAATTTTCTTACTTGTTGAGATCAAGTAATTTAAAATAAAGCCTTTGTTGGATAGGAACACGTTTGGAATGAGCACAAGGATGACCTGTTACACCTACTCTCCTAAGTGAAAGTATTTAAGATTCCTAAGAGTTTCTCCAGGACAGCAAGAGTAGTAGCTGAATGAAAACAGTGATTGAGTGAGTAAAATGAGTGGAAGACTGATCAACAGGAACGCCCTGTGGTAGCTGGGATTGGATAAGTTAAAGAAATTGTCTGTATGGATAGATGGAAGCTAGCATGAAGCCAGGTTAGTCTGGCTAGTTTTTTTTATTTATTTTTTGTTATTTATTTATTTTTTAAATGTAGTCTTTGCACAAATGTAAAGACTCTCAATGGGAGATAACATTGGTGCAATAACATCTGGAGAAAAAAAACCCATTTACAATATAAATATGTGAAGGCCATTCTAATGCCTTTTTTCATTTTCTTTTCTGGCAACACTTTAACATACATGAGGCTTGCTTGGTACAAAAAAAAACACATTCATAAAAGGATAGAAACTGGGTCACATTTTCACATAACAAAGCAGCATCTTTACATGAAGCATTCAGTAGTTCTAAAGATGAGGAAAAAGATGGTTCCTCAAGCCATTTACACTTATGGATGTGCTATTTGCCCATAATTATTAGAACGTTGTAAAGCATGACAAGTTCCTTAGAGTCAGTGGGGTCATCCCAACTATTCTTACGCTCATCCAGTTTACCAAATCCTGCAGGAAGCTAGTCATTACTGAACAGGAAAAAAACACCTGGTCAATACTTTCTTCTTCTTGTAAACAAAATGGGTCCACCTCAAACCCAAACCTTTCTTTAAGCCTTTCTGCTGCTGGGTAATATCCATTGATTATTTTAAATGACATTTCTTTAACTTTGGGGGGGGGGATAGGATAGGTTTCAAAAATGTGTTTATTTGTTTGTTATTTTAATATTACTCCATTTTTATATTGTGTTATTGTTAAAATTGTAAAATATATTTTCAAACATTTTATTTATGATTTTATAACCACACTTTAGTTTAATGAATCTTATTTAACTGTAAAGAGGGTAAACTGGTTTGTCCTTTAGAGTGATTTAAATGATTTTGTATCAAACTCAACAGAGATAAAGGGATTGCATTAAAAACTTTATTATATTCTCTACGGGAACACTGAATATTAAACTGGACAGTAAAGTAAAGTAAATCTGTTATAAAGATGTTTTTTTTTTTTTTCCCATTCGACTCTTTAATGAATAATGACTTCCTATTAATTGTAATGGCCCTGTTATTCCACAAGGTGGAGCCATGTGGCGTGAAGTTATGGGCTTATGAAATCCTGACAGGATATCATAAGCAAAGCATAAGGATATCTTGACAGGCAACTTCAATATATCAAAATGATTAGTCTGGCTAGTTAGCTTATTGAGAATTTTAACTGGTTACATTAGTATAGCTAGTCGTGTGGCGTAATAAGTTTTATTGTGAAAGGTTTAACACAAAGTGAACGTCGGGTGAAGCGGCAGCTAAAGAGAGAAATAGTTCGTGGGGATTAGTGATGGTAAATTTGATTCTTTTTACTGAATCGAGTTTTAAAGAGTCACTCACCAAAGTGAATCGGGTTTTTTGAGTCATTTGATTCACTGAGTCAGTCGACCAGAGTGTGCAAAAAATTTACATTTTCACTCAAACTTAATTTGTTTCTCTTTTCATGTAAACCCTACTGCTAAGATGAATGATTCTAAAAGAAAACAACTATTTTATAGAGCAAAAAAGAGCAAAAACATTTATAAAATTAAGCAATTTTCTATCAAAATTTTATTTTAATATATTTTTATTTCTTTATTTTATTAGTATTTTCCTTAAATGTGTTAAATATACATTTTCTCATCTAAATGTCCACTGAGCTGTGAGCCAGGGGGCGGTAATGCACCTTAACATTGGTTTCCAACCAAGAAGAAGAAGAAGCTGTGCGCCAGGAGGGAGGGGGTGAGCGAGCGAGTGAGTGATTCGTTCGTTCTATGATTCAGCACAGGAGGGAGGGGGTGAGCGAGTCCTGAGCGATTCGCACACGCTTACGAATCAGCACAGGAGGGAGGGGGTTAGTGAGTCCTGAGTGATTCGTTCGCTCTATGATTCAGCACAGGAGGGAGGGGCTGAGTAGCTCAAATGTGCTGTTAGCATGTTAGCGGAGCGATGCTACTGTGAACCGAGGAGCTATTTTCTTGATGTAGCTTCTACTCAGGGTTTTTTCTTCCAGTTCAGAGCAGAATTTTTTTTTTTGTTACGATACTGGATGTTGTGTTTTTCTCCACAATTTTAATTATAAGCTAGATCATTGCTGCTAACAGCAACAGGGATGAGTCAGTGAGTCAGTTGGGCTTGTGAATCATGAGTTAGTAAAGTGATTCTCGAGTATTGAACGATTCGTTCATGATTCGCGCGTCACTAGCGGGGATTTTGAAACTACCAGTTTGAGTTGCTCTACAACAATAAGATGTCTGACGAAGAAGCGGAAGCTAGCGCGACAGCTACACAGCCTCGCACGCCACCGCCCCAAGCAAACACCGGGGGACAGGGGAAGAGGCCATACGGCTAGCGAGTCGGCTACGAGATTAGCTAAACTAAGCTAGTGAGACAGTAAAGACACGGTGAGTTAATACTTTGGTTATAAATTAGCGTGTGAGTACACAGAGTGTGCAAGTGAAGATTACACTATGACATAAGAAGATATGTACAACTTTTTCATTAAATTGCTATGCAGATAAGCTACACAGAAACACCACTGTGTGTTGGAACAAGAAACAGGAAGTGACACTCAACTGCAGAGAGAGCGAACACCAAATGACAGCGCCACCCAACTACAGAAAAAAACCAAAACCACCATAAAGTATGTGTAGTCATTACTAAAATGTCTGTCGAAAATATGTGGTGTGACCTCTTAATTCAGAATGAATTCGGGTATGAATTCCATGTCTATTAGTGGCATCACACTGGATCCACTGGTGCGGCTGATCCTGTCATCTTCACAGGCCTGCAGGAGGTTGTTGTTGCGGTGTTTATACGGGCACTTAATTTCCACACATCCTTTACCACAACATTCACATTTTACGAGCGCATCAGGGGTGGCACCCAATTCTGGGAATGAGGGGTTGATTATGAAACCACACTTATCCACTTTAAGTTCTCTATGCACCTGTGTACCACTCTCGTGCTGTGTTTTCACTGTCTCTTCCCCACTTGAATTGTTGCGGTTCGTGGTCGGAGAGCTGATGTGACAGTTTTTGTGGGTAGCACACTTTCTTAACAGTTGACAATGCAGGAGTGGCAATGGAGGTGGACACATGTAACCCAGAGTAATTTCCTGCACTTATTTCCTGCCATTGAACGCATCACAAATGCATGACTCCAACCACATGACTTTGCTCAGCCAATCGAATGGCATGTAGGTCATAGTAAGCCTGTCCCGACTTCCTCCCGTCAGATGCGTGGAGGCAAGCCAGGTGACAGAGCTGTTGCAGGTGTGTATTGGCAAACATTTGCTTTTCCCGTTTTAATGCATTTTCTTAACACCAACTAACTTATGCAACTTAGATGCTGATTACTGTGAGCCAGAGCCATAATGTTGTTGTGCACTGAACAGAATGGAATTGGTGAGTTTGAACTTTTAATTGACTGTTTGTATTGCTACCAGCTGACCCTAATCGGCTGCTGCCGGTCCAAACAATTTGATTTTGATTTGACTGATAGTTGTTGAATAACAAATGTTGTGGAGCTACATAGTATGTATGTATGTAGCAGTTGAAATGTTTTCAGTTAAATCCTTATTGGTTAGAAATATTATATTTAACCAATATATTGTTTGTTTATTTTTATAAATTGTGTACACAGGAACAAGAATAACTTAATGTATTTAGCTGACATTTTTGTATGTTGTTCTTGTGATTTCTTATTGGCCTTGTTTATTTAATGCAGGCCAGGTGAACCTTTTTTGGGTATGGAAAAGGATGGCGAGCCAATGAACGGCTAGGAGCAGGACTCATTCTGCATTGAAGCTTCCACTGGACTGGTAGGAAGCTATCAAAGGCGACGCTCTGTCCCGTAATTTCCGAATACACTGATTTCCACAATCATACACACCAGTTCCCCCGTTTATGGACAATAGCGCTTGGACATCTCTCATGGATATTCAGATAAAACTCATGGACTTCAGTGTGGATCAGTGTTTTCGATGTTAACATGTGTTATTTATGGGGAACTTTTTTTGAGAATCTATATTGCTTGGTATAAGCCAGAAGAATTTGCTTAGTTGCCTTTGTGCACCCCCACTGGGTTTTTCTATTAATTAAATAGCTACAGCAGGAATGATTATTTAAGCTTTCATTTTCTTTTCTTAATTTTCTTTGCTTTCGGTTAAATACATGGTACCTGCAAAAGCATTTTGTGTTGTGTGTATTTAATTACTGCCCATCAGCTCCAGTAGCATTCCTAAATCTTCTGATTAATAATAATCACACTCAATCCCTAGCCTGTATTAACTCATTAGCGCTACATCAGTGTTACACACAACTGCATGTATGTTTGACGCAGTGATTCTTCCTGCTCGTGCTGTGTGCCAAAGGTCACATTTGTGCTGCTCCCTGGTTTTCTCTTCCAGTGCCTCTGCCTTTGAGACAACAACACAGTGCTTCAGACGATCGCAGTGCTGCAGAAGGACAGATAGCTGACATGCATGAGATCTGTGAGAGGCTTTAAATCGGCCAGTGTACGCACTTGTAGCGAACTGCCACCAGTGCGAGTCCGGATTTTGGGATTTGGAGAACAGTCACTTTGTCCAGCACTGAAGGATTGGTCGAGTGCCCTTTTTCTTGCTGCACTGGTGGTGTAGTCAATTGTGTGTCCAGGTACTCCTTGCCCTCTCTTGATGTTGGAGGGCATTATCCAGTAAGCTTGGACATCTGTTGGCGTGATATTCCCTCGTAGACGCACAGTTGTGTCAACTTTGTAAAGGAGAGCCGCCACATGCACACACTTCTCTGCCACACTTCCCATGCATGTGCAATGTGCACTTTCAACATCCCCATTAGATTGCTGAATAACCCAGGGCTGAAGAGGCTTCTGTTTGAGGTGCATGGAGTGATTTACCTGAAACAGTCAGTGCAGAAAAACGTGTTTGTGAGGACAGAATGTACAGTAAATATTAGGCTTGGCATAAATTGTGAATTGTCCTGACACAATATTGCATTTCGCTTCTGTTATTACCATGGTACATTGACAAAAACATATACTTTTATTCACAGGATATATGACAGATTTTTGTATCACTAATTGCCCTGTACAATTACAGCATATAATATTATGCACTCACTCCAAGAACCGTATAATTATAAATCTGAGCGTGGTGAAAGTTGGGCAGCACGCTAACGTCTTTTGTTCATTCTGTCTGCTCATAAGGGTCTAACCCTTTCACTCCTTTGATTTTTTTTTTTCTCGTATCTTTTCTTTGCCTTTTCGTCGAGTCTGTCTTTGTACGGACCGACATTGTTCTCCTTCGTTTTGTACCTACCTTTTTTGGGGAGCAAAGAAAAACCAAGAAGGTATTGGAACCGGAGAATGAACATTTTGTGGTGCTGCAAATGCTTACATTTGATGCGGTGCTTGGATTGTTTTGCCACGAGTTCCCGACATGCAATGCGCAAAAGTCACGTGGTCTGTCAATCGCTATACTCAACCAAGTAGGAGAGGGACTAAAGCTCTGTGGTTTAGATGAGGTGTGGGCACCCCCTCACCAGATGTGCCAGCAGCTCTTACAAAGGATGTAAGTAAAGTTGTAAAAGAGGCTCACACTCGTTCTAAAAATATATATATTTTTAGTTATGGTATCTGTTTCTTGTGGACGAAAGAACCCCACTTTTTTGTAGATATGCAATAAGCCATAGACACAAATTTGCAGTGTGCAAAGATTACTGCATCAGCAACTTTGGTTATGTGCATTGTTACTTTTATCATAAAAGCATTTTGTATAATTATTTGATGTGTTTCTTTTTTCCAGGTGGATGCAGACTTCCTTGTGTTTGCCTTGTTACCTCCCTTCAGTAAGGAAACTCCAATCAGAAGACACTGAGAGATGCGTGTCGTCAATTTTCTTCAGGGTTTCTTGCTTAAGTTGGAAGATGACGATAAAAGCACATAAATATCCACCTTCTCTGGAAGTACAGGAGTTGGGATCTGAGAATGTAGGAGGGTCCCTGCAGGCAGCAGCGTCAAACCAGCTGGTGAGTCTGGTGTAGTGATGGGATTTCCGGCTCTTTTTAGAGATCCGGCTCTTTCGGTTCGGCTCACTAAAAAGAGCCGGCTCTTTCGGCTCCGAACCGGCTCTTCAGGTTGTTTTGTTGCTTTAATTAATTTATTATTAACAACAATATAAAATTATGCACAAAAGTAATTACTAATGTTAAAAAAAAAGGTGGTTTTATTTATATATGTTTATATATAAATATATGCGGTGGCCCCTAGAGACAAAACACGTACAAACTCCAAAACACATTTCTAGCATGAACTGAACTTCCAAAGCAGAGCTACCTACATCACTTAAATTACACAATTGAAAGCATGTGTGTATTGTTTGTGTATTTATACATAGGCACTCATATACAGTGGGGCAAAAAAGTATTTAGTCAGCCACTGATTGTGCAAGTTCCCCCACTAAAATGATGACCTCTGTCACAGAGGTCATCACTAAAATGATGACCTCTGTCATCATTTTAGAGATGGGTTAATCTGTGGGAGAAACAAACCGAAAAGACAAGACACAGATGCCTCAGTCCAATGGGTGAGACACGGTGTTGGGCCAAGCATGATGCCCTCCAAAAAATCTTTGGACATTTTGGAAAACCAGATGATGGCCTCTTCGTTGATGTAGTGCTGACGATGGAAGCCATTGAAAAGAGGGAAAAAGAAAAGCCAGCTGTTCGTGCCAAAGCACGAGGCTCTAAAGAGTGTCTCTCGAAGCATGAAACTGTGTTAACAGGACAGATATTTCTTAGAGTGTTTGAGCAAACAACTCCTCTGTCGAAGTACCTCCAGTCAAAGGGGATGGACATTCTCTCTGCCCATCATATGGTGACTGCCACACAAGATGGCCTCAAAAGTATCGCCAGGAACTTTCCAACTGTGAAGACAGCTGCAGACACATTTGTGAAACAGACAAATCAAAAACTAGAGGAGAGGGAGAACAATACAGACATGGAAGTGGAGGCTGAACTACCTAAAAAGAGAGCCAAAAAGAGAAAAGTTATGGCCGGAGAGATGCCTGAAGATGAGTTGCAAATCAATGCAGAGAAATCATATGAGGTGAAACTGCACAACATCATCCTGGACACAGTTATTTAAGCAATCCACATACGATTTGTTATACATGGCCCTCTTCTTGCCGATTTGGCATGGTTGGACCCCAGGAAGTTTAGCCAGGTCAGAACAGTTTCTCTTCCAAGTAATGCATTTCAGAACCTCAGCGCCTGTCTACTTAAATTTGACAGCAGGGCTACAGTTAATAACCTTCAGTCAGAACACAAACGTTTTGCTGAACAGTGGGAAAGGCTTAAGACATCACATGTAGATGAGTACACGACCAGAACAGCAAAGGACAGATCTGAAGAATGGGACGAAGAAAGTGAAATTGTGACCAAAAGCTGTGGTTCTTGCAAAAATTGCCCACTGTGCTGCTATCAAATACTCAGGCGGTTCAACATGCTGTCTGATGCCTATCGTCTCCTTGGGCTGGCATACAAGTACCTGCTGACCCTCTCCCTCACTCAGGTTGCCTGTGAAAGAACATTCTCTACACTCAAGTTCATTAAAAGCAGACTCCGAAGCAGCCTGCCTGCAAACAAGCTGGAGATGTTTATGCTGATGGCCACTGAAAAGGACATTCTCATGTCATTGGACTCTGACATGGTCATTGACAGGGTAGCTGAGAAGAGTGACCTGCTGAGAAAGCTCCTTTTGTAACCTGGTGAGGTGAAATAAAAATGAGCAAAACATTCCTAATTATCTATTGTTAATATTAAATTCAGCTTTATTGTTATTGCCTAAATGAATACGTTTAGTATCTACCTTCACTTCAAACAAGTCAAGTGATTGGTAAATGCTTAGAATTTGTCCATCTTAATAGATTGGAGTATTAGGCATTTATAAACATATATTCTTACAGTCTTAATCTGTCATTGTTTCATTTCAGATGCTGTCAGTCATTTTAGGAGGACTGAAGTGTGTTCATTTTAAGTAAGTACTATATGGAATATGATTCAACCATTTTTCTAGAGTAAGCATACCAGTGCTGTCATCCTCTGAAAAAATCTATTAAGTACAATTCTTTCTCAACCTTCACTGTCTGTCCTTTCACTTCTTAAAGGTTTCCATGTCTTAAGATATGTTCAGTGTTGCTGCTGTGGAAGTGTTGTAGGTGACCTTTTATTGATGAGTGAATAGTCTTTGGTGATACAATTCAATCATAATCTGTCCTTTATAGATTTTAATATTCATCTAATCTTTATTCCTTTCTGTCCTGTTTGTCAGGGTCTGATCATACATTGTTTGTTTGTTTGTTTGTTTAAGAGGTTCGAGACCATTCAACTTTTTAAGTTCATCAACGTAAGTACTAGTGTATATGATTCCTCTAATTCCTTTGTGGAATAAAGATGCCAGTACTGTGATCATCTGAGCAAGTCCATCAATTGCCATTCACAGTTCTTTGTCCTTTCACTTGTGTCCTCTTTTTCAGGGTCCCATATAATTTCTTCAGAAGTCCATCCATCCATCCATCTTCATCCGCTTTGTCCGGGGCCGGGTCGCGGGGGCAGCAGCCTAAGCAAAGAGGCCCAGACCTCCCTCTCCCCAGCCACCTCCTCCAGCTTATCCGGGGGAATACCAAGGCGTTCCCAGGCCAGCCGAGAGATATAATCTCTCCAGCGTGTTCTGGGTCTGCCTCGGGGCCTCCTCCCGGTGGGACATGCCTGGAACACCTCACCCAGGAGGCGCCCAGGGGGCATCCTTGTCAGATGCCCGAACCACCTCAGCTGGCTCCTTTCGATGTGGAGCAACAGCTGCTCTACTCTGAGCCCCTCCCGGATGGCCGAACTTCTCACCCTATCTCTAAGGGAGAGGCCAGCCACCCTTCGGAGGAAGCTCATTTCTGCCGCTTGTATCCGCGATCTCGTTCTTTCGGTCACTACCCACAGCTCGTGGCCATAGGTGAGGGTAGGGACGTAGATCGACCGGTAAATCGAGAGCTTCGCTTTTACACTCAGCTCCCTCTTCACCACGACGGACCGGTGCAGCGTCCGCATTACTGCAGCTGCAGCCCCAATCCGTCTGTCGATCTCCGGCTCCCTTCTCCCATCACTCGCGAACAAGACCCCGAGATACTTGAACTCCTCCA